CTATTTAGAAAATTTGAATTTAAAATCTTACTTCAAGGGAACCGAGTTCTTTTTATTCGAATTAACAAGTCTTTAGTATTATTATATTAAGTTCTTGATAAAAAGAATTGGTACTGTTGATTAAGTTGTAATTACTTGCTAAATGAGAAGGCATGTAAGTGCTTTGAGTTGATAAAAGAGGGAAATATGCATAGTTTTAGATCTTTTTCTACTCACTTGGGTTTGATATGTTGGTCCTCAATGTCAAAAAGGTCAATATATATGGTTTTCATTTAGTAAGACATGAACAAATCAAGATATCAAGTTTAAAGTTTTTGAGTAGCACATGCATGTAGGCCAAGTCGCTCAAGCGTTAAGGTCATATTTAATTGATGGCCTAAGTAGATTGTTTTTATAATTTAACCAAAGAAGTAATTATTATGAACAACCAAATAAGTCCTCAGTGCTCAAGGCTGCTCACTCATATGACCGTATTTCTCATGCAATATCTAATCACTTGTCCACAAAAAAAAAAGTTTAGTTTTCTTTTCTTTTCTTTTCTTTTATTATTATTATTATTATTTGATATTAATTTTTTAGTTTTTGGTAATCATATTAAATTTCAACTAATTGAGAATCAAATCTCATAAGATCTTATAAAGGAGAAGCACTCAAACTCAAAACTTTATTTAAAAGGAATCGAACTCTTTCCATTCGAAACAACAAGTTGTTGCTTTTTTTTCTTTTTCCTTTTATTTGTATATGATTAATGTACTCTATTTGTGAGGTTAGGTTTACCACCAGTACTTCAAAGACTCACAATCGAAAGGATACAATAAACTTAGACTAAAAGTAATTGATATTATGAGCCTAACACATGTGCCTTTTAAATTCCGATTATTATATAGGATTAGCTGACTTTTCCCCATTAATTACACCTTCGAGTGTTTGTTCCCTATTCTGATGCCAAACTTTAAACATTCATTCATTGTATCTCCCTTGAATCTTAGTTTCAGAACAATCTACTTTAATGAAAACCCCTTATCTCTCTTGTCCAAAGATTAAAATTCATATGAACCCAACTGAATCCAAGGGAAATCATAACATATTGCAAGTTCCAAAGACCTGAGCTGACATGTGAGGCACATGAAGCAAATGCACCTTTCAATCTAGAGTGTTTTGGACCTTGCAACCTCAATCAGTTGCTTGTAATTGTGCTCACTACACATACAGATCTACACATACAGATTTTACTTTAGGATTTATATAGTGTCTGTTGAGACTCAGTAATCATGAGGTCAGGAACCCACCATGTTCATCACATGACACAGGTGCAAAGAGAATGGAGGAAAGGGTGATGAATTTTCTTCATGATGTTGCTGTCAATTTTGTCCTGAGCCATTTTTTACTCATTCTCAGAAAATTCCTCTTCCTGTTACTATCTCTGCATTGATTCATTCAAACCAAAAAAGCTCTGCTTTGTATGAAGATTTTTGAGTCTGTACTCAAGAAGAAAAACAGATCATTGAGGCAGGCAGACCCCTGCATTGCAGCAGCAAAACTGGGGCAATATCCCATTCTGTTTATTAGAGCTTTTACAGGTAGAAGTTCTGTTTGTAGAGTCCCATTAATACTTTTAAAAGTTGAAAAGAAACTCATTTTTCCAGTTCAAAAGACATATCTATACGATGATTGACCTCCACAGAAGCAGAAGTGTTTCTAAAAAGTCATATTTGGCTGCGAAACTATAGTATAAGCTACAATTATTCAACCACAAATCATGAGCCATGGCTAGAAAGCCTTCACACAGGGTACTTGTCTTTCTCTTTCTGAAATGGATAAGGGAATTTGTCACAAGCTGCAAGGAAGTACGTGAAGGGTCACATGGAAATGGAAGAAAAAACAATCATTTGGGGAATCCTTTTCTTACAACTTTTGTTTTTATCTAACATGTAATGGTCATTTTTCCCTTTCTTAACTGCAATCCTTATCCCACTCCACCATACTTTCTAGCAGGCATTTCATTTACCCTCTTGACTCTTTTACCTTTTCATCTTGCAACTGTTGAAGCCAAAAGGTAATATATATGTGCAAATGATTCGATTTAAGAAAGCAATTAATGTCTCAAAAGAAAGCAATAATACCATAATCTTGGGTACTCCCATGTTTCATCTCCCATGACACATAAATCGGTACTGTTAGACCCACCTTGTACTAGTGTTTCACAGATCTAACAGATTGAATCTCACTAAAGCAGTAGAATTCGGATTTGAGCAGGTTCTAAAACTATTTTGTCTTTAAAAGGAAAATTTTTAAATATATATATCTTGAATGTCTGCTGAAAGTGCACCTTGGATTCCTCCTAGGGATGAATGTTGCTTCCATAGCTAGGCTGGTATTTTGTCCTTTCCCTCCCTTTTTTTTTTTTTTTTTTTTTTTTTT